ATGGGTCAGATGTGGCAAAAAAATCGKATTTGGGTCGTATTTGCCTGCAGTGTGAACGTAGCCAAAGTCTTTAGGTAACTTTGTCTTGATTTAAAAATTTAYAATGTCATATATGAACGCTTACGCATAATTGCTGAAAATGACAAGCAGGGCTTTCGAGCATCCGCCCCATGGTAGACGTAAAGTTACGCCCTTGGAAGGATGCCAAATCAACAATCAATCACCACATTGGCACGTTCAGAAGTCCCACATAGGTGGCCAGAAGTTGTCTATCGGACTGAGGTCTCTTGTGAATGAGCCTTCAGATTTGCATTAATAGATATGACATTTGAAAATCAATTTAAAACCCTCATACCCATAATGCAATGCCTCTGAAAAATTAGATTTTACCCCTCCCCCCCACCACGACTATTGACCCAACTTGCATAGATTTACTCCAGTTAATGATCACAGACAGCTCGGTTACCTAAAGTAATGCTTTTCTGATGGATTTTAAAGCAGCAGCCCTTTTTCTACCTCAGATCATCTACACCTTTGTTCAATTATTCCTAAGTAATTGCCTCACCAAGGTAGCAGCTTTGCCAGTAATGGAATTTAGAAAAGTAATATGGCGTCCCTCAAGTTTGTCGGCAGCTCTATGTCTGCTCAAATACAATGACAGGAAAAGAAAACGCAGGACTGGAAAACACCCCGTTCCTCTACCAAMAGACTGAAAAACCAAGACACAAAAAGCCAGACTTATTGAGGCTCCAGTTTTGTTTTTGTGTTACTTTGGTCAACTATTACTGGTTATTCTTACAGATAATGAGCTGATTAGGTGAAAAATAGAAAGAGTGAATGACCGTGTGAAGTAACAGGACAAAGACGAAAGCAATAAGAAAGAAGATGAAAGGACTTGAATTAAAAGCTGAATGAAGTCATCTCAGCTAATCACGGCTTTGATAGCTCTAAGTAATGCACGCCAATAATTTCTCTTTCAGAAATGTTTTGGTTGTCAAAAATCAAAGCAAAAGGAAAAACAAGTTATCAAACCCACAATCTCTGTGACAGAAAAATTACGCTTTCAAAGGTTGTGATCTCAAACCGAGACAACTGTCCTAAAGGTTTAACCACAGGATTTAAACTGCAAAATACAGAAACCCCACAGATACTTATCACTAGCTCAGAATTATTTTGAATACTRATGTTTACAGCTGGTATGGTTGGGTGTTTTTTTATTTTATTTATTTTTTTGATACTGTAAAGCCTTCCTTAAATTATACCCTTGTATACTGTACTACCATGTGSCTTGAAAGGCTTGTGATGCTCTCTTGGTTCTTTATGGGATTCTGTCAAGCTATGGAGTGAATGAACAACTCATGGAGCAAGCAAGGTTTGCTGCCAACGCAACAGATTGTAATACRGTTCCTGCAGTTTCTTTCTTAAACATTAGGCTTCGCTATTATGACAATAACATGGTTGCACAGCAGGAGTGGCAGAACTGTGGTGGGCATGGCTGACCAAAAAGTTTAGCTGACTAATAACTAAATCCTCTAAACAAGAATCTTAGCCCTGCTAACAATAAACCGCTAAACGGATACAAAATTAGTGGAAGCTAATGCGAATCACTAAGATGACAGACTGCATCACACGTCTTCATCTCTTTCCAGTTGAAGGCAGGTGGAACTGACACATTCCTGTTGTTAGTTTTCTGTTGGTTTCATTTGAAGGTGGGCGGGATCATCTGTGGAAAATTGGCGAATCCAAACCTGAGTTAAAACTCTAACTTGTGATACTTCCAGCTTACTAAGAAAAACGCATAGTGCGCGCAACTCGAATTTTCTAACAAAAAATGGAAAAGAGTAAATGGGTGCCCAGTTCTGAAGAATCACAAAAATGGGATAACCAGGACTCCAAAAAATACCATGTTTTTAATAAGGGCAGAAAACAGGACACATTTCGGCTACACAATAAGTAGGTCCTCTGGATGGTTTCTTTTTTAGTGAAACGTTTCGTCTCTCCTCCAACAGACTTCATCAGTCTGATGAGTTTCAGGTGAACTCAGCCTTATAAGCACGGCCTCCACATGGACAAACAGATTAGTCACATGCAAAACCATTTACCATTAAACAGAGGTGGAGGCCTTCGTGTCCAGTTGTCTTCCTCCTACAATGCTGTTATTGCAAGTATGACTCAGCCCCTTGTGAGCAAAAGGTGTGAATCAGGGCCCCAATGATACCAACACAAAGAGGGAAAAAAGACAAAAATAAGGGGACTTTGAGCCCCGCCTGCACTCACTACATATAGATAACACAACACCAAATAACCACAGCCAAACCATCCGAACCAATGGCTGTGTCTCAATTCATGGGCTGGGTCCTCATGAGGACCCAGCCTAGCTGGGCCACGGAGGCCACATCCTTGCTGGGCCAGGTAGGATGCTCAAAACTGCTGCGAAATGAGACGGTCCAGCCTTCGCCTGATGTCGGCTTCACGTGGATTTGCGTGACCACGTGCTCCCCCGTTACCATAGTGATCAGTTTCAACAGTCCGCTCCAGGTTTTCCTGGTTACCTCCAACCAGTCAGCCCAGCAGCCTGCAGCTACCAGGAAGGAGCGAGCAGCCGCCTGCCCGAGTGCATCTGCCCCACGTTAGACTGCCCCCACCGGGTTAGACCAGAGGAAGGTGAAGTTTGAGAGAGAGAGAGAGAGAGAGAGAGAGAGAGAGAGAGAGAGAGAGAGAGAGAGA